GCCGCGTCACAGCCGAGTCACACGCAGCGCGGCTCACCCGCCCCACCGGTCTGCAATGATGAGGACTGTACCTACCTTATTCCCTCCTATACCTCATGCGAAAATAATAAGAGGGTAGGCAGGTTGTGAGAAGGAGCCGTACGGAGATCCTACTCTGGACGGTGGGAGGGGGAAGGGGGCGTACTGACACCGCGACTTTACCAACCAACATGATGCACCCTGTTTAGAACCCGTTCACAGGGTCTACGTAATCTCTGTGATAACTAAGGAGATTGCACTATAGAGCCTTCCGTTAGCATTACTTTTGATGGGGTCTTTATAGGGAGCAAGCTGTGAGATCCAAAAATTTTACACGCGGCCCATCGTTACTGAGGAAAGAGTAATTCCATCATGAGCTAATCAGGTCACGTAGCCGCTCATGTCGCGCCAAGTGAGTCGAGCGGCAAATGGTGCGGCAATTCCAGAGCTAGGTTGCTGTGGGTTGTCGCTAGAGCAAGGGATTTGCTTTAGTTCACGGCGCCTTCTACAAACATTCCGTTAAGGGACCGTCTGGTCGTGACTTCTTCAACAACTTGAATGAGCCAGAATACAACTCGTACGCAACGGTTGCGACGTCGCTAGCCACGCCCACCAGCGCGGCGACCCAGCAGCCCCATGACTGATAGTTCCGTACCCCTCCTTATTTTGTTGCCGCTCCGCGGTCGCTCGCTCAAGAATCACCTATCATGTCTACGCTTTCGTCCAACTAACCTGTAAACCCAGCCTGTGGCCATTACACTTGGAGAGGGCAATAGGGTTTTCCAGACCTTTCACAAATGTAGTCCAGCTCTGATGACCAGAACCCATGCTGTCAAATTTCAATGCAAAAATAAGGGCGCAGTTTGGCTCGGAGGGGGCAAATCGCACCTTCGCTGCTTCCCATCGTCGTGTTCACTGCTTTACAAGTTGACAGGTATTCATTACAAGAGTTGACAAGAAGTTCATACAAACTTCGACTGGGATCACCTCATGGCTTCATAAGTTCACTATCCTCTACTTGATGGCTCGACGCGACAATGGGGAGTAGTGAATATGCAAAATGCCCTCCCAAGCCGAACTCCGCCACAATATATTTCACAAACTCACGGCATCAACATAGTGACTGTGGCACATGTGTTTCTTCGACGAGATTTTTTCGTAGATGGATTTCATTTGCTCTAAATCAGCCGACGACGACACCATCATCAACGTGATCAGGATAGCGTTATGTGGTTTACTTATGGAAACATAACGCAGCATATCCTGCTCATACAACTTTTCACAAAACATGCAGCTCCTTCGAACCATTTTCGTCACATTCGATACCGAAGTACTCCACACTGGACTGAAAATAAAATAATTGCTCCTAAAATCTGATA